TCCTAACTTTAGAACTGCCACCCAGACCATGCACACCCCCAGAAGCCATGATATGCCCATAAAAGTGATACTAAAGAAGAACCTCATCATAATAGCATTGAAGGTTTAGGAAACACAACGACATGCACTAACCTATTACCATGCCCTGAACCTTCCTTATGTACATCTTCAGACAATGCTGCCAAGGATGCATGGGCACAGGCAGCAGCAACTCTTGGTCCAACAGCAGATGCCAGAAAAGCAACCTAGAAAATTTTCAACTAGTTAGACCAATGCATGAAAAAGCTAGCAATACAATTAGATCCATCTTTGTTTAAAATTGTCATAACTATCTCTTGGGGCAATATTTCTCCTCTTGCATGGAACCTTAGAACCCATTAATGATAAAAAGAAATACTCAAAAATAAAGGGTGTCTAATTCAGGAAATTGTTAAGGCAGCAATTCAACCCTCATCAGCTTCTTTCATTTTTTTCTTTTGATCTCTTTACAATATTTCTCATCCCAACGTACCTGTTGCAGTAAGGAAATTATCTTTATATTTGGCTTTGATACAACACCAAAAAATTGTCTTAACACTCCACTATTTGACTGACCAAAAAGACAAAAAGATAATTCCAATATTAGCAGCATTTCCATCTTCCATATTTCTCTTGTGCAAAAAGATGGTTACCAGGATACCAGCAGAATACAAGAAAGTATCAAATTTAACAAACTTAAATTTGAGGCCATTATTAGAGAAATAAATAATAACTGATTTTATTCTCTCTCTCCACAGTGATATATTCACAATTATGAATCTCAAGTTACTAATAAATGAGTGTGAAAGAGCAATTAGGTGACTGAATAAACTAGTCAAGTACCATAGCCATAACTGGATTCCCAGAATTCGCAAAAGGAAGCCTTCTTTCAGAATCTGCATCTTGAAGGCTGGACCCTAAAAAGCATGCAAAGTTAGAAAAAGGATTTACAAACATAAAGTCTTCATTTCCATGGAGGGTAAAGACCCCAAGTAAATAAGAAACCTGGTAAACTCCCATTCATATTTGAGTGCAATCTTCCACGGCCATCTCCATTTGAAACAATTGCCGATTCGGGCATGCTTGGAACTTCCATGTTTTCCAATAGGCCATCCTCCATGGGTAGGCGTAGAAAATGAAGTATACATTGTGCCTTTGACTTAGTGCCAACATGCTCAGCTATTTCATTCCAGTTCTCATTGTAAATTTCCATTGCCTCAAGCAGTAGCAATGTTTCCTGATCACTCCAATTTTCTCCATCTAGGTCACCATAATCTTTTGTTGAATCTACCCTAACAAAATCTATGCTTGAAAGACCAGAAACAAATCTCCCATCATGGAAGCAATCAGAGCAAAGTAGTGTATCAACCTGTCAATCAGCCAATAATAGAAACAAATGAGCATAATTAACATCATGATTTAGGTAAACCGACATCTTGAAAGACAAAGTTTACTAATTCCATCAGCACTCCATGTTCATATGCAACTTTAACGTTTCAGACTCCAGGAACAGCACTTTAAACTTAGCTCCACAACAACTTAACAAAATTTAGCTCTTTTACACAGGAATCAAACCAGTGTTCACCTCATGATTCAATTTTCTGAATACTTTTAAGCAAGTAATCATGTTAAGATCTTTTCTAACTGATTTTCTTGATTTGAATGTCTTACTTTATATGCCTTATTTCCACAATCAATTATTACATCCAAAATACACCCCCAAAGTAACTTAAACTACTCACTGAAAGAGTTAATAGATGTTCAGATACCAAATCAAGTCATGCCAAGCACTCTCTGACTCAGCTTTCTAAACAACATCCAAGACTGAACTAGAATTAGTTACTAGAAATAAGTGCATGCTTTAGCAAGAAACTTTCTTGTCTACAAATGAGGATAGAAATCAATAGTTGTTCCCTTCCTGGCACCAAAACCAGGTAGAAAAGTACCTAGAATGCTCACATCGATTAAGAAATGTAACTTTCAGCAACTTTCATTTCATATAGATTAAAGCAATCATAGTATAAATTCATTTCTTTTGATGGATGAGATCAGATAGAACAACATTTCGGACAAAGCAAGTAGAACAGGTCCTAGTGTTCCTAACATTATGAAACTGCATCTAGAGATGGAATCACTAAGTTCCTTACCAAAAAAAAAAAAAAAAAATCAAATTTCCAATAGAAAAATTCCCCAAAACTAAAATATTAACGTTTCACTAGCCCATTTACATTGTTGAAGGTATTGTCACGTCCTACTGATTTTAAAAAAGTATACATTGCCAGATAAGTAATCAAGATGACAGCATTTGAGCCCCAACCTAAGCGGCATGTGAGCTAAAGCAGTGAACATGCTGATATATTGAAGCCTGCCCAAAATCCTAAATCAAAAGCGTTTTCTCTAACAACATCTAGAAAGGTATTAATTTTTTCCCAAAATCCAAAAGAAAAAGACCATTAATAAAATACAGAGGAACCCATCCCCTCGTAGATGGTAATTCTGATTCTGATTCATATCATGCATGGCCGAGTGTTTGTTATGTTAAATGGTCCTAAGTCAATTTTTTTTCTGCAGTTCATTAAATTTTTAAGATAAAAATTGTACATATGCAGCAATAAATTGGTTAGATGATTAATGGAAAGAAGGATTATTAAGACTTACCATGAAAGAAATGAAGATTAACAGGGGCATAAGAGTCACATACCTCCTTCTGTGACTGATAATATGAAGTGGGAATAGGCTGAGAACAACAACTGCAATGGTTTTCAGATAAGCGCTCTCGTATTCTATTGTCCAAGTCAAAGAAATCATCATTATTACATGACAATGATGAATAAACATCAGCTGCCTTAAGCCTACATTTTGGCTTGTCAAATTTGATCAAACCATCAATAGACTTCAAAGCAGCTGATGGCACATGAACCTCACCATTTGGATCCTCCTTTAAGTAGCATCCACCATTCCATGACTCATGACTTGGAGCAGCTGCACAATAATTGATAATTCCCCAGTGATCAAGAAACCGAACAATTCGAGTTAAATCCTCATTATTTATACCATCTACCAACCCCTGGCAATCAGAAACTGTGATTCTCTTCTCTGGATTATCCATGTATCTGACAACAATGTGATTTCTACATTCCATATATCTTTCTGGCATATGTTCTGGTGATTTTCCAGAGAAAAAATGTGGCACAACTTGTCTTTCTAGTCGATGCACTGTGGCTGGTGAAAACCACTCTGCTTGCAAGGGAATCCCACGAACACAACCAAATATTAATACACAAATAAGAAGACAAACAAGTGCAAAGCGAGCAACAGAGGGCGCAAGATTTAGCTAAGAGGTTAACAAAAAGAATGTGTGGTAATATCTTGTTTGTACTCTTTAACCAACAGACATATCATGAAACTCGTATCATGTAAACGGAAACAACCTAAGTGTAAATTGCTTAACTTTTGTTTTAATTTAGATTCCATTTCTCGTCTGAACTAAATCAAGACCTTTCTTAAGAGTCCAATCAAACCAAGGTTTGCCCTAGGTAATAATCAAGTCACATACACAAAGGAACTTAAGTAAATACTTCCCCAAGACTTCTGCAGAAGTACATCTTAATACAAGCAAGTAAGCAAGAGTAGGTTCACTAGAAACATCCAAAGAAAGTCAAACCTTTCGAACTCTTCAATCCCACTAATATTAACAGTATTTAAAGAGATCATTCCCATGTAACACTAAGCATTATGGAAAGAAGTCCAAATTTCAACAAAACATCATAGAAACATCTAAATAAACTTAGTAAATTAACGTAAATAAGCTTAATCTAGTTATATATTTCATTTATTAGAAACTTGTGGAAATTAAACCTTCTTGTTATTTAAAATTTAGAGTTATTTCCAGAATATATTTCAGTTCGCCCTAGTCAGACTGGAAACTAAAACCAAGCAGAAGTTTAAAGAATAGAGATATTAAAAGGAGAGCAAAATTTAACCTGAATGCATCGGCACGACATGAACCCTACTCCCAAACCTCTTAACAACACCACAGCCCTCCATTATAGGAGGAGGGGTAATCACATACTTCTCCGGATCAACAACGGGAGCTTCCAACGAAACCGCCTGTAACTGCCCATGTGAAACATTCTCCAAAACCGCCATCGCCACCTGCTGGTGCCCCTTACTATCCCCAACCAAACCCGCCCGTTCAGCCGCCACGATTGCCATAACGGAACCATGAGGACATTTCACCGTCCGCTTCACCACGGCGGGGAACTCCGAGATGCGAATTCCACCGTTTGTCAGGACCTCACTCTCGCTGGGCCCCGCTAAGGACGGATCCGTAAAGGCTCCAGCGGCGTCGTCCCCGGAGTTGTCACGGTGGTTATCGAGGTCGTCGTCGTTGTTGTTGTTCTTTTCGTCTTCTTCGTCTTCTTCTGGAACGACGTCGTTTTCTCCTTGGTGGTGTTTGGCTCTTCGCTCTCGCTTCCGCTTCTTCCATCGACCTCGACCATCTGTTAAAAAAAATTAATTTTATTTAAATCAGAGAAAAATGGAAATAGGCAATTTCGTAAATTTAATATAATTATTATTGGAGAGGGAAAATGGTAAAAAAAAAAAAAAAGGAGGAGGAGAAATTGCCTGAAGGAGAAGCTGGCATTGGGTTTGAGTATTGAGAGGGGAATTTAGAGAGAGTGAAATGCGGAGAAATTGTGGGGTCGAATTGTCGGAAGGGAAGAGTCGGGGGAGACTGTGAGGGAGAGAGAAGAGGATAGGGCCTTTTTTCTTATTTTTCCTTTGTTTTTTTTTTTTTTCGTTTGCTCGGTTTCCTTCTCCCTCCGTGCCCTTCGACTTCGACCGCTTTCGTTTGGGGGGGTTTTGGTGAAACAGCTGTTAGTTTAGCTGATTCTATTTCTACCCCTTCCCCAAAACTAACTAAAATTAAAAACAAAAACAGATTTTATTGTTTTCTCTTTTTTTTTTTGTTATTATATTTTCTTATTTTACATTTTATACCTCACTAACCTTTTACCATATTGGAAAAAAAAATTTACTTTTGATATAAGGAATTAAGAATCAATATTGAAAGGCATACATTATTACAGGGTAATTTGATATTGTTATGTGTTTTATATTTTATTTTTTAAAATTCTTGTTTTGTTTTATTTTAATTTATTAAATTTAAAAATATGTTTGGATAAAATATTTTTACTATAAAAATGTAAAAACAAAAACATATAAGAGAAAATAGTTAAAGTTTTAACGTATTTAAGAGAAGACGTTCGATTCTGGTCAAAAGCAAAATTGTTAAACTATAGCAATATTGAAGCCGAACAAGTGAACAGTGTCTGTGCATAATAATACCAAATTATTAGAAAACACCATTTTTTTTCAATCATTTTTAAAATTTAATTTTTAACTTTTAAAAACCAAAACAACTTACCAAACGTATTTTTATTTCTAATTTAAAAAAAAAAAAACTGAAAACAATAACAAAAATAAAAAACAAAATACGCTACCAAACGACCCCCAAATTATTTTAGGTTTAAGATTAAAATTTGACATTAGTATCATGGGTACAACTCAATAACTTTAAATAAAATTCATTGTTAATTATACGCAAGACTTGTTAATAAAATATTAAATTCATAATTAAATAATTTTTATTAATTTTAAATATAAATAAATAAAACTCATTAAGTTTATTCTTAAATTTTTTAATTAAAAATTATTAAATCAACAATGATAGATAAAAATGTGAATAATTAATTAAAAATAGTATTTATACAAAAAAAACTTTGATCATGGTGAAAATGTTTTCATATTTCACAATAAAAATAAATATTCAAATAATATTAAATTTTCTTTAAATTATTTGAAAAATTGTACACTTGATTTATCAATTTATTAATGAAGTCAATTAATCAACTAATTCTATTTTTATTTTTATTTTATTATTGTTAATGGAGAATTTTATGCACAAAATTCTATAATGAGCTTCACTAAGTTCTCATCTAAAATCTTTGCCATTTCAACACTTTTTTAAAAGATTACCAAAAAAAAAAAAAATTGCCCAATTCAACAATATAACAAAAAAAAAAAAACTAAGTTTTTGTTTCAAGTTTAAAGATATTGTTTTCTTTTAGTTAGTCTTATGACTACGAGTGGAATGGAGTCTTGGCATGAGACCCAACTTGGAAGTATGTATCAACCTCATATTTCTATAGTATTTTATTTTATTTTTTAATTATGTCTATATAACACTAACAATATTTATAATTAAATATTAAATTTAACATATTTAATAATGTAAAATCAATTATAAAATAATGAAAACTATCTATATAAAAATAAAATAATGAAAACTATCTATATAAAAATTATGTATGAAATATATATTTAAAGTAAAAAAAAATGTATATGAGAAGATTTAATTTAAATATTTTTTATATAAATGCTACATATGTACGATTATTGTAGGAGTATATTATAGTTTTTTTATTATATTTAATAAACATATTTTTAAATTATAAAAATATATATTTTAAAGATTTATTTTTGGTGCCTGGTATCTAAATTTTTCTTTTTTTTCTTTTCCTTTTTTTTAATCTTTTTTCACATTTTCCTTTTTTTCTTTTCTTAAAATTATTTAATGAATATTTTTTTTTTTTTGTGGACTCACTTGTTAAAGAGGATATGCCACGTGTTTTTTTACATATTTAATAAACAATTTTTTTATATTTTATCTTTTATAACTCTTTTGATATTAAAAATATATTACGTGTTAGGTTATTTGATTCTTTTTTCACCATTTTAATTGATTTTTTTTATTTTTCTTTTTATGTTTAATAAACTTTTTAAAAAATTATAAAATTTTTTACTATAGGGTCCGTTTTATATTATTGTTTAAAATATATTTTTTTATTTTTTAAAATTTGATCATTTAAAGAAAATTATATTCAAAGGTGTTGGTATCACATTCAAATTTAATTTTTTTGAACCTTTATTAAATAACATTTGCAGCCAATGTGTGATAATTTTTCTTGGACTTACTTGCCAAGTATGCCACATGCTTTTTTATTTTCTTTTTTTAAACATATTTAATAAAATAATGTTTTATATTTTAATTTTTTTGAAATTCGTTTGATATTAAGGATATGTCACTTGATTCCTTTGTTTTCACTTTGTTTTATTTTTCTATTTACTATTTTTTTCATTTTTTATTTAATAAATATTTTAAAAACATAATTTTGCCCCATTTTCAACGAAATTGCACTATATTATAAGGATCTTAAAAACTTAATAGGACCAAAGGCTTGTCTGTCCATTCAGATTCGCTCCAATACTATCTATAAATTATAAATAAATTTTATAAAATAAACTTGAGCTCTAACATCAACTCCTAGGTGTTTTTTTTTTTTAATTAATCTATCTCCAAGTTAAGCCGAACTCACAAATAGTTTTAATTTAACTGTTTATATTTATAATAACAATAACATTGATTTCAAATTATGAATGGACGCTTAAAAAGTAGTTCATACAGTTATTTTTTAAAAATATTATTTAATAAGTTTGAAATTTAAATTTAATATTTATAATTTTTTTCATATTCGTAAGTTATGATTTATTTTGTAAAAAAAAAAATCAAAGGCTAAAATACTAAAAGTGCTTTTCAAATTTATTATTTTATTTAGACAAGTTAATATATTTTTATTATACCCAAATAAAATTTTTTATTTGTATCAAAGTATGCTTTTATTTCAAACAAAAAATAGTTTTATATTAAAAACTTATTTAAGTATAAATTAGAAGATAAAAGCTTTTTGGGATATAAATTAAAATTTTTAAAAAAATCTTATTTAGGTTGCAAAATAAAAGTTAAGATCTTATTTTGGTGTAATAAAAAGATAAAAACTTACTTAAATAAAGTGATAAAGTATATAAATTTTTTATTATTTTAACCAACTTCAAATTCGTGTACATGAATGAAATTTTTTTTATACAAAATATGTTTGGGGTATCAAAAGTGTTTTGAATCAATATATATCATTCTTCAAAAGTTTTAACTTGTTAATGAAAAAAATATTTTTTATAAAAAAGACTGTAGGTGTTGTTAATAAAATGATTCTAAAATTATTAAAACTAATTCTATAATTTGATATTAATTATTATTATTATTAAATTTTCTAATTTAATGCACATTATTATGACATGATAATAAGTATCAAAATTTCACAGTCAAAGTGAGCAAGGTAAAAATTTGGCGCTAAGTATTTACTTAATAGGTTGAGGCATGACCCTTCCATGATTTTGAGTTATATAATGCACCGTATTTTTGTAAGTTTTTCATTTATTGTTTGTTAAATGAAGGTTATAGTACTATCAACATGCAGTTGGGAAAAAAGAAGAATATACTAGTACTTTTGCAGGATATCAATTTTAAATTTAGTTAATGATACATCGGAGGAAATTAAATTTATTAAAAGATTCGTTTTTTTTTAATTTATTATTTCTATATTTCTATATTTTCAAATATTTTCAAATATTATATCAAACATATCATAATACTCTATATGAACAATTCACTTCGTGGAATATAAGCATCAATAGTAGCTCAAATAAGAGAGAAGGAATGCCCTCTCAAATTCGGATGTGTGCAGTTAGTTAAGATACATTATCAACCCTAATTTAATTCTACAATGTTTTCAATTTATTGTACTCCAAATTAGTAATTGCTGTCCCGTTATAATAATTTAAAATGAATTATTTTTAATATATAATTTTATAAATTAATTCATTGAATGAATTATTTTTCTCTTGATAAAAATTAAAGTATTCTTCGAAATAAAAGTTGATACTAAAGATAACATTCTCATTGTTAAAATATTAGTAAAATAGTCTTCAACTGCTTGATCTAGTGATCAAGATAACTTTAAAGAAGACATTAAAATTAGGGTTCGAACTCCAACATTGTCCTCTCTCCTTAATGTAAGGCTCTGACCCATTGAATGATAAAAAATAAATTAGTAAAATATATATATTTTTTGAGTTTAGATTTATAATTACATATTATCAATGTTATGTCTAAATCAATTGATTAACGATTAAAATTTAATCAACATAATTAAGTCTTTGGGTTACCTAAACGATATATGTCCAAATAAACATGTTGAAGTTGGCTCGTCTTTCATCAAAAGAATGATTTACCTAAAGTCGCACCAATACACTTGTTAAGACAATCATTTCAAAATTAATCGACAATAATTTATTTAAAATCATTAAATGTAACTTATATCGTATTAAGATTATTAAACATAATTTTCATTCACTTTCATAATACTTTTTAAATTTTACATATATATTTTATCAATTATCAATTATCTCAACCATATTATTACATTTGATCTCACATGAAAGGTAAATGAAAAATTAAGTGCTTAACACATAACTAAACTTAATACTCTCTAACTTTTCTCCTCAAAGCTTCGCTCACACATTTTAGCATTTTCATATTTCTTACTTCCTAACTTTATCTTAGACATACTGATTTAAACGTCAAAATGTATCACAAAATAACAACTCTGAGACTTCTAATTATATTTTTTGACTACAAGTCATAATTATCTTTCCATTCAATTTCAGCTTTTCTTTTTTCAGTTAAGACATCCAAAAGCACAATTAATAATTGAAAATGAATTTAGCGTGTGACAATGCATGAAAACCATGAATATCACCATTTTTATCATTAACATGCCGAATACCGTCCATGATTATAGAAGTTTTTTTTTTTTTTTGGTATTATTAGTGTTCTAGTTGATGAACAAAGGGATAAAGACAGGTTTGAGAAAGCTGAAAATAAAAAATAAAAACATATCTATTGGAGCGGTGTAAGAGAAAAATATGAAAGAAAAAAAATTAAAAGAAAAAATAAATTTAAAAAATAAAATTTTCTTTATAAAATAAATATATTCAAGTTAAAAAAACAAAATCAAGTTTCTTTAATTTGGGTTGTATTAACCTTTTAGAAAATTTTTTTTTAACTAAAATAAACAAATCTCGAATTGCCAATATTCACGTGAAAAATAAAAGAATCATTAAAAATTTTATTACGCATGGTATGATATCTGACTGATGTTCCCTGGACGAAGTTAAAAGAATTAAAATTAAAATTAAAATAATATATTTAAAAATTTAGATTGCAAATTATTCATTTATTTTGTTTAAAAATTTTAAATTTAAATATTATTAAAATTGATACTCAAAAATTTTGAATTGAAATATTTTTTAACTAAATAAATAATAAAATAAACATATAAGGGTAAATAAGAAACTAAAAAATCTCATCATAATTTGGCATTTTTATCAAAAGTAGTTACAGATTTTTATTTATTTTTCCACCAAAAGAATATAACAAGGCTTCCTTTTCCTTCTTAAAAAAAATGAAAGACTAGCCAATGGCAATTGAATCGCATACAAAAGTCGATCTTCTTTTTTGTGAGGAAGGAAGCAAAGATTCAAACAAATTAATTTTTGATGCACTCATTGAAACCTTACCTAAAAATGAAAAGACCAAGACCACCTTCATCGCCACCACTCTCCCCTCCCTCCACCTCCACCTTCACCAAACCAAAACCAAAACCACCGCCACCACCCCAATCCCTCCACCCCAAAACCCCACCAATCTCCTCCAAGAAGCCTGAACCACACCCCAAATGGGTACCCTTCAACCTATCCCAATCCGAGCTCTCCCTTCCCCTCACTTTCCCCACGGGCCAAACCTTCCGCTGGAAACAAACAGGGCCGCTCCAATACACCGGCACCATCGGACCCCATTTGTTCTCCCTCAAACACCTCCACAACGGTGACGTTTGTTACTTCATCCACTCCACCCCTTCCGAATCCGCTGCCAAGCTAGCCCTCCTCGATTTTCTCAACGTGGGCATTTCCTTGGCCAAGCTCTGGGAGGTTTTCTCCGAGAATGACTCCAGGTTTGCAGAGCTGGCGAAGTATTTGAAGGGTGCTCGGGTTTTGAGGCAGGACCCAGTTGAGTGCTTGGTCCAGTTCCTTTGTTCTTCTAATAACAATATTGGGAGGATTACTAAAATGGTGGATTTCATTTCCTCTTTGGGTACTTATTTGGGCAGTGTTGGTGGGTTTGAGTTTCACGAGTTCCCTTCATTGGAACGTTTATCAATTGTCTCTGAGGAAGAGCTTAGACAGGCTGGTTTTGGTTACAGGTAATGGAGTCTCATTTTGTTTTCCTTTTAGTTTCTTTATTTGTATTTTTCTTCAATTGATTCCCTAATTGCATTAATACTGGATATATGGTTGTTAATTGACTCCTTAAGTTCCTCAGAGAGTGATTTCTTTTTGCCTATAATATTCAGTAAATCTTCTTGCATTGGTAGATTTTGTTGTTGGCTGAGGATGCTCAATTCATATTTCTACAGCTCAACAAACTATTGAAAACGTTATTTACCCTGCCTAATGGGGCAATGTTTGATTGGTTCAAACTTCAAATCTGATATCTTCCTTTACTAACGAATTTTTAGACCTGTCTGTTAGTTGGTGTGCCCCATCCTTAAATTTATCTAATAGCTATATTGCATTTCAATTAGTATAAATAAGAGGGAAAAGTGGTAGGGGAACATAGCATTGCTTCTACTGAAATCAAGGATTACAGTAAATAGTAGTGATGTGGTGCTTAATATCTGTATAATCCCTTCATAATGAGAGGTATATTTATATCTCGATATGGCAGCTGATATGTGATTCATTATGTCTGGCATACATGGGTGGGATTTGCAGCGTGTCTTTTGCATTGTAATCATGGTTTGAGGTGAAGCTTTTTTCATGGTGTGGTGAGCAGGGCCAAGTACATTACTGGCACGGTTGATGTTTTGCAAGCAAAACCTGATGGAGGTGCTCAGTGGCTTCTCTCTATTCGTAAATTGAATCTTCAAGAGGCAATTGATGCTCTATGTTCTTTACCTGGAGTTGGTGCCAAGGTTGCAGCATGCATTGCTCTCTTCTCACTTGATCAGCACCATGCCATTCCAGTTGATACGCATGTGTGGCAGGTATGCTTTATGAATGTAGCTAGTTGTGTAGTGTGGATAGTCTTTTACATGTTACATTTGTGAGCACTTTACCAATGACTTGACTGAGGTTGGTCATCCTTTTGATTAGGAAGTGGGTTTCCAACTTTCAGAATCATTTTGCTTTCTGTTAATTTGGCTGTGAGTCACAGAAAGTAGAAATCCAATTGAAGTTAAGGGCTGACGTCACAGTAGTTCTACCTCCCTTCTAGATTTGGGTGCCGGGGCTTTTGTTGAAATCCTAGCACAACCTGTCTGAGTTGAGTGGCATTAGATATTTAGGTGATGAACATTTATGATGCTACGATAGGAATAAATAACCTTTGCTTACTTAAATTTGCAATCTAATATCATGGCATGCCTCTCTACAATTTTGCTTCTTGAATATGGCATGGATTGGTGTAACATTTATGTTATATATTGTAAATGGTTATTGATGAGATCTTGAGGAAATTAACTTTTTTTCTTCTTTTGTATTTTATGTATCCATGAATTTCTAACATGGGAGTGTTCTACTTGTTTCATGGAGCAAGATTGCTACAAGATACCTCCTGCCTGAGCTTGCAGGTACGCGTTTGACACCTAAGCTTTGCAGCCGTGTGGCAGAGGCCTTTGTGAGCAAATATGGTGAATATGCTGGCTGGGCTCAGACTCTACTTTTTATCGCTGAATTACCTTCACAGAAGGCCCTCTTACCATCACAGTTTTCGGATATTGAGGAGAAAAAATCTGCCAAAAGAAAAGACAGTAATAGGTGCAGTAGTGATGGAAGCTATAGTTTAAATTATTGAAATGTTTTCTTTTGGAGAAAAGATATTTGAGCTTTTGCATCTATAAGCCTTTAGTATTGGATTTTTTTTTTCAGGAGCAAGATCTAAAATGATATATCTCTCAAGATCAAACGCAAGAAGCTTTTCGGAAATTACTTTCTTATGATGATTAGGAGTCTGAAAGATAAACCATGACAAGTTGCTGTTATGAGCATGCTCGCTGCTGAGACCTGTTAGGTGCTTTTCTATATTTTTGGAACTATCCCCTCCGTTAGCCAGAAGAAATTTTCAACGGCAAGCATTATTGCAAAAATGATTTGAACACTAATAATCAGATAGCCAAAGCAACAAGCATGAATCACATAATTCTAGTTGATTGACGTTCCATTGCTGTATTTTTATCAAATTGTTGTCCATTTTTCTGTATGCAGATTTTATACTTTATAGTTAATTATGTAAGAAACTGAAGATTAGAATCATTAGATTCTTTCGGCGTTCATTGGACACACTTCGATCTAACATTTTGAATTAATTATCTGGTCGTTTGATTCCATGTTAATTGTAAACAGTATATCAGCCCCAAAGCAAAATAAAATTGAGATTTAAAATGACTTGGTTATTGCGTGATGCACAAGACAAAATGCATGTTTAAACTTTATTTATTCAACAATAGCATGGCATGTAAATGATAAATATCTTTTATTAGCCCCTTTTTTTTTGCTTTTTTTTTAATCATTTGAAAACTTGATTCAATCCTCCATATTTAACATTAAATTTTTATTCCAATTCCTCTTAACATACTTTGAAATTGACTAGTTGCACGTGCTTAATGGCTTTAATTTTGATTAACAAGAAAAAATGAGGGTTGAAAAGGTTTTATTTTGATTAACATTCCAAGGATGATTTGAATCAATACTGTTGATTAATCTTTACAGCAAAAATTAAGCTATAAAAAAATTGTTCAATCTTATGTGCATTGTGCATCAACCAACAGAGTTTTCAGTATGCCTGGACATGGATCATCACCAAATTTTTGGCTCCAAACAGGGAAGGAACAAATCCTCTTTCCTAGACAAGCCTGTTAAGTTCCATTGCAGGAAAAACAAGGGTGAATAAATAGTGAAAGTGAAAAGCAACAGATTGATGTTCAAGAATTTGAAATGCTAATCAAGCTAACCTCCTCAACAGTGGCTAAAGAATGAGATGAGTGGCAGCTTCCAAGGGCATAGCTTCCACAATCACCAGTAGGGGTACCATAGCTTGAAAATAAAATGCTGGAAATGCTCCTTCCTGGAGGACATCGAAGCTGAACTTTAGGTCTCCTTCCATGGTGCTTCTTGTTGTAGTTCGGTTCTGTTTTATTTTGTCCTCGCCATGAAATAACTGGTGGGAGATGGGATTCAGACACATGACCACACACTTTTGTGATCGATATGGTGTCTATGGAAATACCAAGAGGGTATCCATTTTCTTCTTCTAGGATAATCAGTAGGTTATCAGTAGGTTTCAGGAGGGATCGAGGCACACTGTACCTAAACGAAACGAAATTCAAGATCAAACATATGAGAGATGACAAATAAGTCCACCAATTTGAGATTATTCATGAAATGCCACGAGTAAATGAATGTCTGATTACTTTACCATGTCTGTGAAGGACTTCCTTTCTGGGTAAGAAATGAGACCCAATATCTACCAATGCTTTGGCCATTTACCCAGGCTTCACCCTTTCCCATTGATTCAAGGTTTAATGCCACAGGTTCTTTTCCAGCTGGTGCATCAAATACAGTCTACAAACAGCATTCAATAGAATTACTTATTACTATATACTTTTCATTCTGTTGAATCGAGTACTAGGATAAAAAGCTTCCATACCTTGTACCATGTTAGACGTTGATGAGTAGAGCTTCCATAGGTATTCCATTGTATTTTACTTGATCCAATATCGGTGTAAACTTGTAATTTCTCACCTAAAAGCCCAACCTTGAGGAAAAATTTTCAATTGTATCAGGAAAACATTTCAGTTTTTCAACTCCAATATAGATTATTAGTGCCAAATTAACTTCTTGAACATCAGATATTCATGGTGAAAACATTCGGATATCCAATTTAGTTAACTGAACTTCAGATGTTGAAACCAGAATCTAGGAATGAAAGACAATAACCTGATATCCCCATGAATAGCTGGTAAAATCTTTAATTTCATGTTCACCCTTAACCATCACACTTCTTACTCCAGCCACCCTTCTCTCAAGGTACGGTCCTGAATCCTTTATACCACGGACAAAAGTTAGGATCAAGGTGACAAGATCATACTTATACTATATTAAAATAAAATCTATTAATTCTCTTGAACATATGACGAGTATTAGGGAATAAAAATTGACAGTTACCGGTAATCCAACCATTCCACTGAGCAAGGAGATATGGTTTGTTCCATTATTTAAAGTAACTTTACTCTCTAGGATGGGAGTTTTAGTCTTAAAACTGCCATGGGTATAACCTAAGGCAGAAGGTAATGAAAGAAACACTTTGTCATCACCCTGTTGCAGGATCAAAGATGAAAATCGAGATCCATTTCAACCATCATGAAAAAGCTTTAGGAGATAATGAGACTCACCTACAAATGCTCCATTTACAAAGGCATGTAATACATGTGCAGAGGATGTCACATTGAGCAAATACTCAGCATCAGAAAAATCATTCTGAAAACTAAAATATTTTAAAAAAAATTACACAATAAGTATAGTAGGATATTAAGGCAGGTTATTTCTCAAAGTTAACCACCAGGTCTGCTTGATTAAGTAAAATCCTTTCAATTCGTACCTGAAAGTGTACCATAGATAATCAGAAATATCTTTTGTTGTATTCATGTGCTCCAATAACATGTTTTCTCTTAAAGAAGTATCCTCAAAAGTAGGGATAGCTTCCTTATATTCTCCCCATTTTTCAATTGAATCTAGCTTCTGGCTTGTTTCCACCGCTCGGGTGCTGTATTGTGTGCTTACCTGTTGAATATGAGCAGAAGAATTAGAATCTCTCTCCAAAAATTTGTATTTCCTTCTTTCATATAAGATGATGATATTCATATATGGTTTGACTTTTAAATCATGAAAAATCAGCCAATTTGAATTTTAATTATACCTTAGCAGTGTTAAAGGCCTCAGTCTTGCAGTCTGGTAGGATGCTGATAGACTTTGGAGGCAATTCATACAATGAATCTTGAAAAGTTACAACAACATTCTTCCTAGTGTCATTGTTTACCAGAAAAGCAGCACAGTCAACTGAATTTACTCCGTAAACAAAGGCCTGCTACCGAAATATATCCTTGATTAGTTACACCAAAAACGAATTAATTGGAAAAAACAGGGAAGATTCTTTAGTTCCACCAATGTTCTTACTTGTTGTGATTGGCCCAAAGCCATGGTGGAACATACTCCAGAAAGTAGAGGGTCCATGCATAACTTGATTGCAGTATGTAACTCTTTAAGGTGACCCCATTTTGGCTGTCTAAACAAACCTGAAAGACAACTCAGAAAGTTAAAAGTTTTAATTCTTAGAGATTCGAATCAAGATAAAATGTCATTTGTACTTACCATACTCATCAAGAGGAGCTTGATCATAATAACTTGTAAGTATATATGCAGAAGCGGTTCTTCCGAAATTTGTTCCTCCATGGTACTACAAGTTATTAAAGCTATACAATTAGCTAGATTCGAATTTCATTTTCATATAACTATAACCTTAAACATAAGTGCATTACAATTAGCTAGATTCAAATTTCATTTTCTTATAACTATAACCTTAAACATAAGTGCATTACAAGTTTAACCAGGTGAAGAATCTAGAGGATTTTCAATACCATATAATAATTCACATAGCTGCCTTTCTTTGCAATGAACAATGCAACATGGAATGCTATATCTTCAGCTGATCTGATGTCTGGTTCATCTCCATATACTTGATAACTTCAAAGAAAACAAAGGGCAATGCAGTTAGTGGTTGCAGTCTCTTACTGAAAATTTCATCACTGGATAGAGCTTAGCTACCACATGTTGGTGTGTATACTTGCAAATTCAAGCAAACAGAATATATAATGTAAATTCAGGCCAGTTTCAAGACAGGGCACACAATTGAATTTTTACAACCTCAATCTTTTCTCCTCTGATACAATATTTAGGTAACTTTACTTTATTGCTTAATGGTAAGCAGAAATGCAAAATGCAAAAATCGGGAAGATACTAAGCATCTGACAAAAACATACAAGCTTGTCCAATTCTCTGTCCATATTGCAGGCTTATTTGGTGAATTTGGTCCTGGAAATGTTTCCCCGCATCGTCTCCCATTACATGCATTAATCTATCAATTAGCCAATTTTCAGCAAAAATGAAAAGCAGAAGGAAAAATAATAGTAAAATGGGTTTGATCAAGCAAACACAACTGAAAGAAAGTGTTAAATTTTTTGAAAGTTCTTGATCAATGATTCTTATTGCAGTCATTTAGAAGAATCTGAAAGTATTTGTTTATTGCTTTCACAATTTGTTACATCATAAAATCTGCAAATTTGTTGTGAAATTTGAAGCATGTACTTTGAATGTCCAATTAGTTATAAAATCAGTCCAGAGTAATTGGAGACTATACCACTGGGTCAGGAGCATCATTTTGCTTGCACATCACCCATGGTACGCCAGTTTGAAGCCCCACCGCCATCTCAGCAGCCCAACGAACATAAGGCGGCCCTTTTTCTCTAAATGCTGCTTCTATCATTCCATACTCATTTTCAATCTGCAATTAGAACTTTCAGAATCACCAAAGGTGATAGTTGAAAACAAAATGGTATGTCATGTTTTTGGACTTAAACCTGCGACAGAATAATTGGCCCTCCTTGAGAAGCATATAACTTTTCTGTTTTCATCATGCTCACAATCTTTGACACAAACTTCTGCATTTGATACTGCCATTATATAAAAAAGAGCATTAGTATCAGTGGTAGCGCTGTCCTCAGAGTTCAGACCCCTTAATATTTCCATAGCAACTGAGAAACAGAAGTACTCGCCTTGAAGGGTTCATTATCGGATCTATAAACTATGCCTGGAATATCATGCAGCCAAAATGGCAGACCCCTGCAACCAAACCATTCTTTTAGGCCCTTTGAAAATCAACTAGGATGGATTTAAATATTGCAGAAAGTAATCTAATTACCCGTAAGACCATTCGCCTTCAATGAAGGGTCCGATCCTAATGCATGCATATAGACCTTGTGCTTGAATTTCCTTAATGAATCTTACTATATCACGTCTTCCGCTGAAATCAAACTGCAGAACAATGATCAATGTGACTTCAGCATCTACATTTTTTCCCCATTTTTTGTTCAACATGAACTGTATAGAGGCAAAGAACATTATAGTCATTAATGGTAACCTGTCCTGGCTGGGGTTCATGTAGGTTCCAAAAAACCAGGGTTTCAATGACATCTAGTCCACCAGCTTTGGCCTTGGCTATCAAAGATGGCCACATCTGCAAATTAGCATTACATATTATTATAATAAAAAATGTACCGGAAATTTCTGAAGAAGATTTCTTGTTCTAGTTAAAAAAAAGTTAAGGCATGCATACGTGCACAAAATTAATGAAATTAATTGTGAGCTACTTAACCTCGAGTGAATGATTAATGTAATCTATTGAGCTGAACTTAAGTTTGAGTAGCTTAAATAATAATTGAATACTTTAATATTTATTTTAGAGATTTAAAAACGAACATTTTGATTATTAAAATTTTTAATAATATCATATATATATATATAAATTAGTATGTAATACTCATTTAAATTTTAAATTCATATTCAAGTTCAATTTGAATTTGGATAATTTTATTTGAGTCTATAATAATTACGGGTCTATCTCGGTAGACCATGAGATTAAAAATAATGGTAGAAGTTAAATTAGTTAATTTAACAAAAAAATTAAAATCAATAATTGAAATATATTTGGATACAAAAGTAATAACGATAATTAGATGAATTTCAATAAAAATAAAAATTTTAAATTATCATTAAAAATATTAGATTAAAAATTATATAATAAAAAATTTAAATTATTTAATATTTATAAAATTAAAAGATAATTAAAATTTTATGGAATTATTTTATGTCAAATAATTAATAATTTGATATTGTCAAAAAAAAAAGTAAATTATTTCAAAGATTTTAAGCATTAAAAGTGAAACAAAATTAAAAAAAAAAAAAGACTGTTAACAAATATCAGACAAAAAAGGTCCGAAAGTGAAAAATACTTTGATTGAGATTTACAATTTATCACTGAAACCACAAAAGTTCAATGTGTAATAAAGATGCAACATAGTGACACTACACATTTCTTATCCGAACATAAAAAAAAAATGAGTCAATTTCATCCTTTATTAGCTCGTCACGGCGGCTACCTTAAAATCCAAATCAGGCCCAAATCAAATTAAATCAACCTTCGAGTAGCTCAATTATTTTTTCGGATGAGTTCGAGATTTAAAAAAAAAAAAAAAAATTAAATGGAACTTTATTTGACACTTTTTAAATGTCTAAAAGTAAAAAAAGAAATTGTTTTATAAGCACAAAAGAAACAGGGGATGCTTGCATTTTTTTGTTATTCTCTTTGCGTTGAGATTCAAAGAAGATACGCTCAGCGGCTCAGTCCATGTAGTAATGAAATTTTAGTGAGAATGAATCAAAATGGCAAATAAATTAATGGGACTACCAAATGTGTTTGACGCATGCAAAGTGGAGAACAGGTGGCGATTTTGTTTACAAAGAAGAGATAAACTGGGTCTAGACTCTAAACAAGTCATTAAATCAATTTGGTGAAGATCAACCATTCCAAAACAAAGGCTTGACCATTAGCTCATCGTGCTGTTTTTTTCGTTCTAGAAATTTGACTATTTTCACCAAACAAGTTTTTTTTTTTTCCCAGGATTGAAAACAACCAAATATCTTTCAAACAAACCAAACAGGCCAAAACCCAAAAACTTGGCAAGAAAAAGAAAGAAAGATTAAAGAGATTTACTGAGAATTAATGTAACAGAAGATTAATATAAAATATACCTGAGGAGTGCTACGAGGGTAGTGAATTGAACCAGAAAACAGAATCTTGTGTTGGCCGTCGATGATCAATGACCTTCCATCGTACGTTACATTGCCGGCGCTACTGATATCAACAGCCGCAGCCAAAAGCAACCCAAGAAGAAACAAGAACCTCCCCATATCTCTCAACCCTTTCGTTTCTTCTGTTATGCTGTGTTTCTCATGCTATGAAAGAGTTTGTGTAACCTGAGAAATGCCCTTCCACTTCCACCACCAACTAAAATCCCTGAAAATTTTCTGACTGGGTGTTCTTGGGGAAGTTATGGAACAGCAAAAGGAAAGCCAACTATTTGTTTTCACTTTCCAAATAATCCAATTAAAAAACAGGATCTCTTTGCGATTGCTTTTGCAACAATACGCGTAATTGAAATCTTGAGTTGATTTTGCATGGGAACTTCTCCAAGTTTTTAAAGCTGCTTTCTTTCTTTTCCTTCCCGTTTCCACTTGGTTTCTTCCTTTTTTTTTTTTTTTTTTAAATGAACTTTGCAAATGGGTTCGAGCCAATGGGTCCATTCAGTTCACCACATTGACCATCTTTGCAAATAATAAAAATTCTTTTTAACTTAGGAAAGAAATCAATTAGATATTAATTTACATCAATTACCAAATATGACCTTTAGCCAAAAAAAATTACCAAATATGTTCATTAATTAACTTTATATGAATTTTGACTGAATTGCAAATATTCTCCATCAACAATCGTTTGTGGGTAGAATTTATTACATTTTTATTTCAATAATCATAATTTAAATTTTAACAGTTTTAAATATTAAAAAATATTTTATCAAAGAAAATTTTCATTAATCCCAAATAGTTTCAAATATCAAAAGGAAAAATTTATAAAAAATTCTATTTTTTTTTCAATAATTTTTATCCTTCTCAATCCAAAATAAATATAAAATTGCTCATCTAAATATCAGAATTAAAACTTGCAGAAGCACGTAACGTGGTTTACCCACTAGAAAGTTGATATGATTTTTATATTGTAATGTGGGAAACTTTGCGAAAGTTGCTAAGGATAAGGATTAGTTTTTATGTTCAATGCTTAATCATTGACCACTAAATTTTCACTATTTGATTTCCTCACTCTTTTCACATTTTGGGTACAAAACCAATATGGAAAAATTTTAAACAATTTGCTACTTTAGGTTTGCCGGAAACTAGAAAAGAAAAAAAAATAGAAGGAAAATAAAAAGATAAAAAAAAAAAAAGAAAATCTGATTTAAGTAACAAGTTTTTTATTGCAAGGATTTTTTGTTTCTCATGATCTACTCAATAAATATTATCAATCGATTTAAACTTAATTTTTCAATTAAAATTTTTATTTTATCATATTTAAAATTTACATAAAAAAAAGCTCGACCTAAATTTCATCATTTTTGCTTTTACTTTTGAAAGGGTTGATTTAGGAAGACAAGGCGTACAAGATAGATATAGCTTTAATTATATGAATAGGTACGACAATAATATATGCTATACTATTTTTAAAGTAAATGAAAATGATATAATCACTTTATTTGTAAAGAAATCACTTAATAGGATTTAGTTGTTAATGTAAACTAGATTTAAGCACGGATAATAATTTTATTTTATAATAATTTTTAAATAAAATAAAATAAAAATTTTAAATACTAATAGTTCACTAACAATAATAATATATTAGAAGTAATTACATTAAAAATATTTGAATTAGTAATAATGCTCATTTAATTTATAAATACTTTAAAATAAAATGCAATAAAAATAAAATTAATGAAATTTTTGATTGAAAAATGATTATGCATATAAATATTTAAATATATGAATAGAAATTCCTTTTTAATTTAAATTTGTAATTGAATTTTCATCTTTATATTCTTTTAAGCTAATAATTAGAAATTTTTACCAAATTCAAGTCAAAATTTATAATATCATTGAAAGTGAAATGTTATCAAGTAAATTAATTTGGACATGTGATAATCAAAAGACATGTAATACTAAATTATACTATCACATGTAAAAAAGATAGATCAACTACAAAATTAGATAATTTTTTATTATATATACTACTATTTTAAAAAAAGATTATTATTTATTAGAAAACATCCTGTTTTATTTTAAGAAATGTTTATTTATAATTATAACAATGAATTATTTTTTAATGATAAAATTCGTTGTTAGTATTCTCATAAAAAATTAAACTTACCAACCTCAATATATATATAATACTAATAATTTATTATGTATGCTTAACTCTTTTTTGCCAACCGTATATTCTAATATATCAAAAGTAATAAAAGTTTGCATTTAGATTTAACTATTCTTAAATCCAAATGATATTATATATTTTTTTAAATTATAAGAAATTTAATTTTATTTTAAATGTTTTAAAAAATTAACAACCTTAAATATTTTGTAAAAAAAATAATAGTATAATAAAATGTTGAATAAAAAGTTACTTTTTGAATTATTTGGTGAAAATAACTATCATTTATCATAAATCTTATAATTCTTGTTATATATCAAAAAATTGAAATTAAAAAATACTTCTATTAATTTTCATTTACTGGATAATAATTAGCTCAACTTCTAGTTAAATCATGAAAGTGATAGTATTAAAACAACAAACAGAATATCAGAATGATAAAAAAATCATATCAATAAGAAAAGAAAAAATCAATTCACTTCAAACAAATAATAAAAAAATTAAAATGCATATTTAATACATATGATAAAATAAGTGATAAGTGATCAATTTTTTTTTTTAATTTATCACCTAACTTGCTTTTTTATTTTATGATAAAGTATAAAAATAAATCGATATCATAACAAAAACTGAAAAAAGGATAAAAAAATATATATAAATATATGTATAATTTAAATTATAATAGAACTAATAGCAATAGCCAAAACACAAAAAGAAATTCAAAACATTAAATTTTCAAGAAATTTTCTTAATTTTCAAATTTCTTTTCAAAATGATTTTTTTTTCAAAAATAAATCATTATACAACTATGATGAAGAATTAATCTAAAAGATCTTAGGACAAAAGAAAAAAATAAAGTAGTACCCAAAATAATACAAAACCAAACATAAAGTAATTTGTGCATATAATCCATCTATATATAACATCACAAATAAAAGAAAGAGAACCTAAGTTAGGTTTACTGCATGGCAAAAGAATATCATGACAATGGAAAAATATTATAGAGATGCAATTTATTTCTTAAACATATCAACACACCCTTATTTATATGATGGGTCTTCAAAATAATTATGGGATAATTTGTAACTTTTGAATGTTTAATTGATTAAAATGAATTTAAGAACCAAATCAAAATCAATCATCTTATATTAAATTAAAATTAATTTATACTTGACAATTATAATAATCAAACATATTATGTATTCAACTTATTTGGGAGAAATAGAGAAATATGGATTTTGTAATTAGTGTAATAATGGTAATGAAATCCATTTTATTTGATATATTTCAAAATTAATTTTAATTGATTTGATCATCTATTAATCATTTTAAAATTAATATATATACATATTAAACATTATACATAGCTTAAAAGGAAGAGTAAATAAATAGGCCATAAATTACAAACTTGGAAAGTTAATATTTTTTATACAAATGTAATTTAAGAGTTAGAATATTATAATTGAAAAAAGAGAACACAAAATTTTCTATGATGATGGTAATTAAAGTTTTATTATCTTTAATATAATTTAATTGAGAATGATTTAAAGCAAATAATAAAAAAATAAATGTAATTAATTTAAAATTTTAAAAATAATTCAAATAAAATAAAATACAGAACACATGGTGATTTTTCAAAATTATCCATAATTCAATAATATAAGCTGTTCACATTGAAAATTTTCCTTTTTTGTCAAAGGCTTTGACTTTTTTATATTTACTAATTTTAAACCCATACTATGCATGAGTAAGTAAACGATTATAATTTTCATTATATATAATATTATTAGCATTAAAAGAATCGCATGAGTAAAATATTTGAAAGTCTAAATTGGCATAATAAATACATGGTTATATTAATATATCCACATTTTTTTTAAACGTTAGAAAGTATAATTTTGATTTTTATTGAATATTTAAGAATATTATGCAATTTAAAAAAATTAGGGTAAATAAAATTGTTAATTTTTTTTCAATTCAAAAAATTAATCGTCAAATATTATTTATTTAAAAATTTAAAGTTTTATATTTGTTTTATACATGAAGCAAATGTATCTATAATAATTGTTTTAATATAATATTATTTCAAAATTTAATATAATTACAATTTTAGAGAATAATTTAAATTTTATTTTCATGATTACAAATATATTGATAATGGTTGATAAAAAAACTTAAGTTTCCCTAAAAATTTTTATCATCATTTTATTTACAATGTAATAAATTATCTTGATTTGCTATTAAAAATAAAATTATAAAAGAACATAACAAAAAAGTGTAATATAGATTTTTTTCTCAACCAAAAAGATAATTTCATTCATAAAACTAAAGGATTACAAAACTTAAGAATCTCACCAAAGAAAGCTCCAATGCATAAACAAAAAAAAAATTTGTAAAAGCATCTAATAATATACACAACCTAATTTCTAAAAAAAAAAAAAAATACACTTAGGTTATGTTTGACGTATAGGATTACTGATAAGATAGGATGATAATCATACTATATCATATTTGATTTATATCTAAAGAGAAGAATAAGAATTACAAGAAAAATTAATATCCTCTTAGCATAAGATTATTAAATCCTCCCCAAGTGAAAATGATTATTTTAATCAATGAGATTAAACTTATATATCCAATTATACTCTTAAAAGTTACATTAACACTTTAAATTGTATAAAATTTGAGAAAGGATAATTTTGACAAATAAATAAATTATCCTATTCTAATCCCTGCTTACATCAAAAGCAAAATAGGATGGCATTATTTAATCTAATCCTATTCATAATATCATCTTATTCTATCATATCATAATCTTGTGTATCAAACATGACGTCAATCTAACCCCCTTATAGTCTACCTAACATGCATAAAATAATTATGTTTTTGCACTCCCATATTTGTTAAAGAATTAGCAATATAATTTGCTAGTTTGCTTCCCTAAAGGAATGGGCAAAATAAAAAACTCTATTTTTGCTTATAATAATTAAAAACTCTCACTCCTTACAAGATTATGAATCTATATTGAATATCTAAGATATAATTATCTTTTTAAATAAAATACCATTTATATGTACTTAATTTTAAGGGGATATAGAAATAATCAATTAGATAAATATACATGTTTAAAAAAATTAATATGAAAATTTTTTTATATTTATTGTAGGATTTTTTGTAATATTAATATATTAAATTTAGAACTTAATTGTACATATGTTTTCTTGAAATGGATGAAAATTTTATATTAATATATATATATATATATCTTATATTCTAAAGGA